CCTATGATTAAGGCCCCTACATTTGAAAAGACAAAGACTGGCTAGACCCATTACAATGAGCTCTCAGGAAGGTCATTTGAGTATGAGGAAGAGTTATGTAGCTCAACCCTCTTAATATATATACATACATATCGAAGTTGACCTGGCAGAGAGTGATACACACACACACAGAGAAAGAGAGAGAGAGAGAGAGAGAGAGAGAGAGAGAGAGAGATAGAAAACCAAGATCTATAAAGAGAAGCTGTCTATACAATCCATCATTCTATCTTTGAGCTAGACAGGAGACTTGATATTCATCCAATATTTAGCAACAGTCTACTGTGTACTAGATATTAATTTATTCATTGAAGATAAGGTCTTTTCTGTCTTGAATGTGCAATCAAATGCACAATTTTCTTAATTACACATTAGAATAAGCTAAGTTGTTCAATTCTGAAAATCTCAATCTCCAGACTCCACTCTATAATTCATTAAATAAGAATCACTAGGGTACCATCCAGGTATCAATACTGTTTTATTAAAGGTGTGCAGTAATTCCAATGTGCATCCGAGGTTGAGAACCACTCAAGTGAGAAGACAGACACTGACCAAGTAATTACAAATGCCTTGAGTGCTGAGCATTACTGAGAACTGTCAAGTTTCCTGTTTAGCTCAAAGATATTTCTACTATGATATTATTGCCTCTCTTGAGACAATTAGCATCATCATTTATAGAAACATCCCATTAAAAATATTTGGATGTAAAGAATATCACTTATTTTCAACACTTTGGAGTATAAGGTATTCGCCGAAGTATTTTAGAAGGTTTCTAGGTAAAACAGGTCATTGGATTGTGAATATAAGCAGTGAACGTAATCTGAAAAAGAAATATTTTCATGACAAAAATGCATTTCATATCATATGAGTTCTGATTAAAATTATTAATACATATTGGTTTGGTTTTTTTAAATTTTGGCTTTTGATTTAAGGTGATATGATATTTATACCAACAAGTTTGGGAAAGATAAGGATGTCCCATGTTGAGGTTCATTATTAATTTTGCTTTATTTTGTGGTAATTATTCAAATCATGTTAACCTGTTGCTTCAGATATATAAAGCAAATATGACATAGATTCATAAACACTTTGTAAAATCCTACCTGTGGCCTCCAAATTACATATCAAAATGATAGTATGTAATAGCTTTAGATGTTCTAAAGCTTCGTAATTTTTTATGTGATTTTGCTTTTCAATTATTTCAAGTCTCAAATGTAAAAATCTTCAAACAGTAGCATTTAAGGTGAAATTTCAAAATTCATGCTCAAGATACACGGGGTGAAATAAGCTTTTAAAACAATATTGTAAAAGCTATTTTTGTCACTTTATCCTCATCCCCTTAAACACAACAGACCAACCCTGTACACATTTTATCTCCTTGTTTGACCAATAGAAAAAAGTTACGCATTTTACAACATTTTTATAGCTGATTTTTTTACAAATTTGTTCTACCATATATAAATTCACACTGAAAACTCTTTTAATATAAATTCATACCTATCATCTCTTAATTCACAATAAATTTGATAGGAGGTATGTTGTTGTCAGCAGCTAAGAGCAGCCAAATGAAACCTAATGATATCATATAAAAAATAAAATACAACTGAGACTTGATCAGCTTCCTGTTGTGCATTGCTAAATTTGTACTGCAAACTGGAGCCTTTTGAATGCAGCAGCTTTATCATGATTTGACACATTTGAAAAGAAATACGCTCACTTATTAAAGGTGCTAACAAACCTACCCCAAACATTCTAAAACTAAGTCTAAGAGAAATTCATTCTAACTTTAGTCTAGCGAACAATAATCTTTAAAACATATCAGCCTGATAGACATCTATAATTCTACTTACCTGTCTTAACCACCTGTTCTTTTTCGTCATTGCCCCAAGTTGTATTACAAATTTCAGAACCCAAATCTGTCTCTGTTTCTCTGTCTCTGTCTCTCTCTCTGTCTGAGTGTATGTGTGTATGCATTGCTTTGGAAATTTTTTTTTCCCAAAAATAACATTTGGTCCCTACAGTGTTGAACATTTTTGTATTCTCTAACTTAATGTGTTAGACACCAGCCGAAATACACATATATTTCCACTTCTGAGGTAACAAAAAAAGCTTTCTCAAGGAGAACCAGTGAAGATGGGTCTGCAAATTATATATGGATCCTTTCTCCCCTCACAGGTGGACAGAGATCCCTAGAGATTTCTCTGTACTTCTCTGGAACTCGGTTCTGCATGCTGATCAGCAGGCTCCAGGAGGGTTCACAGTAAAGGATCGAAACCCTAGGCTAAGAGAGATTGCTTTTGTGTAGTATCTGCACGTAATACCCACACTGTACTCTTTGGGAAATGTGACTTGCATTAAGCTGTGTGTAGTGTACATACAGAAGAAACATCTGTCACCAGAGGTTTGACTTATTGCTGCCAGCATGAGTATCATCATGTTGCATAAATGTGCAGGAAAACCTTAAACTGACCAGCTGATGTTGGCTTGAAAGAGAGTGATAAACATTAACTGAGAGATTATGTGATTTCCAGATTCCTTGGATATTAACAATGATCTTTGTTGTATTTAGTTATTTAATCACTTCCAGTGTCTATAAAGAGCTATTGATCTAGCAATAGATTATGGAATTGTCTCCAGAAGAAAGCAATCAGTTTTGAATACGTCATCCATGCAGTTGCTAGTGTCTTAATTGTCATACAACTGCCACAAATATATTTGCTTCTGGCTATTACAAACTAAGCATGCATTGAAGTGGTCCAATACACATTACAGATTTAAAGACTTGTTTTTAAAATCGTTGAATATCATGATGTTCCTCTAGCTCCAACCAGGCATATTTCTCAATCATTTTTCCCTTTGTATTTTGAAAGACATGATATCCTAGGTGTGTAGACTCATACGCACAAGTTACTGTACCATGTATGAACTCAATCCTCAACACTCACTTATTGGATATTGCTATTTCTGGCAGCTACAGAAACTGTCTCTAGGAAAGTTGAATGAGTGCCTATGGTCACTCTGTTGGTCAGTAGCAGCAAGGCACAAATTCCAGGTCAATCTGTTTTATCGTAAAATTGCTGCTTTTAACCACTGTACCACATAGCTGTTTCTTCATGGGAAACAATTTTAGGCTAGACAAGAACTTCCACAATCCTAAGCAAAATCTTAGAGTCGTAAGGAAATTGAGAAATCACTTAATCAAATGCTCTACCCCCTGAGTTATCCCCTTTACCATATTTCTAAATGATAATCACCCGGTCTCTTCCTGAATTATCCCCATGACAGGTGGTCACTTCTCCACTGTCAGACAGCTTTAATTATCAGAAAGCACATCCTTCTATTGAGCAGAAAGCTTACTCACAGAAGCTCTTACTATTGGATCCTATTTCTAAGCTCTGGAGAGATTCTAGACAAGTTTACATCCTCTTCCACTGAGTGATGATATTATTTCCTAGAACAGAAATATGGACTAAGGGTAAAAACTACTCTGAGAATTTTAAGAGAGCTATACACTAACTTCGAAGTAAAAAAAATTTATTAATTATTTAAATATACATATCCAGGCTCTTATGCAATCAATTTCACTAAATGAATATGGCACTAACGCATTCAAGAATAGAATATATTAATATCATTTGTTGTAATCTATCCCAGAAGCAGGGATCATGGCGACAAATTGGGACAGTCAGTTAAAACAGATAAAGTATATCTAGCCTTCTAATGTATGGTTCTTTTGGGTTTGAAAAGTGAGTTAAGCATAATTATTTTATAGGCTTTAAATTAACCATCTGTCAAATGGGAACAGTTGGAAAATACAACCGTTCATTGGTTAAACCTCTAAAAGTCTTTCAGATACAGAAGTAAAACCAAAAAAGAAAACCAATACTTCTTGGTCTTTTCAGCGATACAGTTTTATTACATGATCTAAGTTGTGATTAATTGTAGAGTAGAATTAATATGTGTAACACTCATCATAGACATGTTGGTTTTTCTATATGACAAATATTCACCCAAAAATATAATCCTAAATTTGTTGTGTTTTTAAAGTGAGATGTAACTTTGATTACAAAAATTATAACCATATAGTATAAGGAAGAATTGGGGTATAGATAATTATATAAAAACATTTTTACTTAGATAATGATATTTTTACCCTGAGCAAATGAAAAGCAGAAATGTAGCAAATGATATTTTAACTAATAATGAGTTATCATTTTTCTTGTATTCTATAGCATCACTAGCAGCTTCAATGCTAACTTTAATTATGCTAAGGTTTTTATAAAAGTCAGAGTGAAAAAGAGTGGGAGACTTTTCATGGAGTATTAATTCTACAAATTTTGTGTGTGAGATTTTCATTCATTTTTCCTAGCACCTAGTATGGGATCAATACATATTATCTATATTGATTATATCAATTAATTAAATAAAATAGATCAAATAATTTTACAAGTGTGTACAAATTCCTGGGATAGAAAAGGGTAACTTAAGTAAGACTTTAAAAACTTATAGGTATTTTATCGTTTTAAAATCTAATTTCATAGAAAGGGTACATCTAGAATAATTCATTTTTCTCTCCATCTCAACTATTATAACTACACGAAAACTACTTTATATTGTTTAGCTTGTAAAACAGATTAGTAATAACCATAACAGTAAAATTTATTGAGTTGTTACTATGTGTCAGACACTATTCTAATTCATTTACATTAATTAACTAATTTATCTCTCTGAAGAAAATATTTATTAATATTTCCAATTCTAGATGAGAAAACTAAAGCCCACGAAGTTAAGTTACATCTCCAGGTTACATAGCTAGTAAGTAAATTCTAATCAAGAAGGCTGGTTCCAAGATTCACCTCAGCCACTGATCAATATCTCCTGTCATATATTACAAAGCCTATCTCACAGCAGACTCTAAATCATTATTTTTTAATTGACCAGTCACAAACGGAAAGAATAGTTCACCAGATACTGTGCTGAACATATGTCGAACTGTGACCAACTCCTTTTCCACAGGTCTCAGGATGACAGCCCTTTAGCAAGGCAGCTCAGAATTCAGACACACCTTAGTTTTTACTCTGACCAGGGAAGAAAAGAGTTGGGCCCATGACCTCTGGAAGCAGGCATATGGGGCACAGGCAGAAAATGCAACTTCTCTGTGCTTCAGTTTCCTTGTTTATAAAATGGGGGTTATAGTGATGAAGGTGGTGGTGGCAGAGGTACCCAGACCACAGGGTTGATATAAAATGGGGGTTATAGTGATGAAGGCGGTGGTGGCAGAGGTACCCAGACCACAGGGTTGATGTGCAGCACTGCATACCTTAGTAAACATTCTAAAAGTCTTATTGTTATGATTAAAGCTCAGCTTCTTTACCAGACTTCCTTCTTAGACAACTGCTAGACGCTAGAAAATCTTTTTATTCATTCCAAAAATGGGTTATTTGGGCTGATTTGCCTGTCTTGTAAAGGTTGAATCCAATTACTGCTAAGGGAGAATCTGTGTGAGTCTGTTCATTCTCATTAGCTGTTGTCAAGGCTTGATAATCCCAAATTGTTTTTAGACACCAGAGAGATCGAGGAGAATCACAGGATGCAAATCTTCTTGTGCAAGACGCCCTTGAAAGTCAGCAGTTTTGCTGTCTATTTCCTTCACTTAACCCAAACTTCTACTTACAAAAGAATCATCTGCAAAGAGGACATCTGCACCTCTCACGGTTTTGGATAGGGGATGCACAAAATGCTTTCTAATGTATTTGCTTTGCAATGCAGGGGAGAACTGAGGAAAAAGTCCCCCTGAGTTCCTTTCAGAGCTAGTCACAGCTGCTTCATTTTTTTTTTCTTTTCAACCCTCACAGGATGCAGACAGAAAATAGAATCTGGGAATAGATATCCAGAGGACACTCTACTCTCTACTTCTAAACAGCATAATTTCTGGATCAAATTAACATCAACCTTCTTAATTGCCAAACACAAAACAAACAAAAAGAAAACATTGGTCCCCAGGTAATACCCTTTCCTGACCCCACACACACCACACACACACCTGCCCTAACCCTGGCCCTAAAATTACAAAAATACAAGAAACAAATTTGTTTTCCAACTATAGTCACTGTATAATCTTAAATATATTTTTAGCATGATGTTCTTTTCATCTCAATCACTATAATTTGGGTGACATAATGCAAATATATTTATGGAGCATACCACAAAATTAACATTTAAAAGGGAAAAGAATATAAGCAGCTGTTTTTTCCACCAAGTCTCTTTAGAATCCACTGAGAAACAAAAGACACAGTTACATACACAATGTGTACAGTGAAGGCATTGAGACACTGAGCATCTTCAGCAGGGGCTGACTGCCTAATGCATAACACTTTTGTTCAGCCAAATTCCTTGACTTTGCAGGCATGCTTCTCTGTCAAAAACAATATTACATATAACCGTGACCTTCCAAAATCAGTCCGTAAGCACTGGTTTGCTGGTTTGCTCTAGCAGCTAAGGCAGTGAGGTCCAGCTGCAAGTGAATGACAGTAGAGATCTGGTGTGAATTCTGCTTCTAGCCCTTGCTACTCATTTGGATTGAGGTTAATTACTTAATCTCTTTGAGCTTTGGTAAGATTGTCTATAAAGCATGTACACTAAAACTTTTCCCGCAGAATTCTAGAAGATAGGAGATCATGGCTGTACTTAGTACAATTCTTAGTAGATGGTTTGAGCTCACAAAATGGTAGCCATTAATGTAACTACTAAATAGAGCATACAATGAAGTAGGGCAGTGTTTTTGTTAAAATGAGAAAAATGAATTTCAAAATTCACTTTCAGATGCTAGAGCACTATTCCTTTAAACTGTCAGCCAGAGAAAGGACCCTATCTTAGCATAGCCCTTAACTTTGCTTTCAGTAGAGGTAGTTGGGGATTAGAAGAGCAGCTGGTACATCAAGAAACTTATACCTGCAAAGTATAGTTTAACTTCTATATTAAAAGTACTATTTTCCCTTACCAGTGTGCTTTAAGCTTAGAATGCTTGCACATATACACTGCCCCCACGTCCTTCAGCTTTTTAGGATCATTCTTTTTAAAAAAAAAAATTTCATAGAAGGTACTCTAAAACTCCGCTCTGCATGATCTTAAAAGTCTAGTGCCCTCCACAAGATTTTTGAAGGTCCTAAAGACACATATTCTCCTGATCGTCTCCTGAAAGATGCCTGAAACCACGGATAGTACCAAACCATGTATATGCCATTTTTTATACATGCATACCTATGATAAAGTTTAATTATATTCCTTTTAACATTCCTTTAATCATATTCCTTTTCATATATTCCTGCTTCCCTTACACAATCTCACCAATAGATGCTGACTGCTTGCTGCTCCATTGCCCTCCATACTGGCAAGCACTTCTCTTCTTCTATTCCTGAGTATGATCTCCAAACACAAGTCAGAATATATAGGAATAACTCAGAAGACAAAAAACCGCAAAAAAAAACCAACTAGATTTAAATACAACATCCCCCCTTATTTGTGGTTTAGCTTTCCATTGTTTCAGTTACCCATGGTCAACAGCTGTCCAAAAATATTTCATGGAAAAATCCAGATGTGAGCAATTAATACATTTTAAACTGTGTTCCATTCAGCTCCATCCAACCTGGGATATGAATCATCTGTTTGTCCAGTGGATCCACACTGTCTACGCTACCTGCCCATTAGTCATTTAGTAACTGTTTTGGTTCAGATAAACTGCTGAGGTAAAGCAGTTCTTGTACTGACGTAATGCTTATTTTACTTAATAAGTGGCCCCAAACTACAAGAATAGTGATGATGGTATGTTATTATGATTAATATTTAATTATTATTGTTGTTCATCTCTTACTTGCCTAATTGACGAATTAAACTTTTTAATAGGCATGTATGTATAGGAAAAACATAGTACATATAGGGTTCAGTATTATCTGTGGTCAGGCAATCACTGGAGGTCTTAGAACACATCTCCTGCAGACAAAGGAAGACATCTGATTTTAAACAACTTTTTATGGGCAAAGTGCTCTGACATTTTTAATCTTATTCTGTCCTATCTTACTCTATTTTATTTTAACTGTATTTTAAAAATGCTGGGGTACTACCAAACAGATTACACAATTCTTTAATGAATCATGACTTGAGATTTAACAAACCTAAGCTATCTGGGGCAGTCGGAATCACAGCAAAGGGTCTTGATTTTTAAACAACAATAACAAAAAAGCTATTTGCCTGTAAAAATTTATATGGGTCTTTTTGCAGATTGTGAAACCTAGATGTGACTTTAATATGTTTTTTCCTTCCTTTTGACATATAATATTTCATTTACTTTTTATAGCAACTTTATAAGTTAGGTTTAACAGACATTTACAAGTTTCTCCATCTTTTAAAGATGAAGAAACTGAATCTCAGGTTGAGTGATTTTCTAAGGTCACACAGATGGTAATTGTTTCTGCCTTAAAAGTCAGACTCATTTACATCTCTTGCCTGCTGCACCACACAGACCATTGCTTCTCCAAGTGTGGTAGAGTACTGTCTGAATCTGAATTTCCTAGGTGCATAATACTTGCTAAAATATACAGATTCCTGGCTCCACCTTGATCTAGAGGGTCAGAATATCTTAGAGATGGTCATGGAAATATGCAATTTAAAAAATATTCACAGGGGACCAATACAGGCCAAACTAGGTTTATCATTTCCCTTAGATGCTGTAAATTGTATGTGAGAAAGAGAGAGAGAGAGAGAGAGCGAGAGAAAGAAATGACTTCTGAAAGCTGAAATAAGAATTACATTGGTTTGCTGCAAAAGGATTTGAGAGAACCTAGAAGTCAAATACAAACAAAAATTATACAATTATAAATAAACCAAGAACAAAGATTGAGTAACAGAAGAACCAAAAGAAAAGAGGAACTTAGCCTAGAAGAAAAGCTATTTGACTTTGATTTGGACTAGAATTCTTCTAGCAGTTAAGATAAAACAGTATTTTGAAAGCGTTTTATTCTCACAGATTAATTTGGTTCTAATTCTCCCAGTATCTGAGCAAAAGAAAAAAATAGATATCTGTTGCATTTTAATTTTCTGAGTAAGAACTTAAGGGAACTGCTTATACATATAGTCAACGTGTAGAGTTTGAAAACCACCTTCATTACTCTTCCCCTTCTCCAGCATAACCATATAATTATTGTAATAACATCAATTGAAGATCCGCGGCAGGCCAAAACGACATTACCCTATTTAATATTCATAAACCTCTCAGGATGCAGCCTCCATATTGTGGATGAGAAAACTCAAGTTTAGAGATTGTAAGCGTCTCTTCCAAAGACTTACATAGTAAGTGGAAAAACTGAGATTCAAACCCAGATAGTTTGTCTCTAGAGCCTATGCTCTGCTGACTCTCAGGTCAACGATAAGTGAAATAACCATGACATATACCCATCAATCCTATTGAGAAAGAGAACTAAAGCAAGAATGAGAAAATAAAGAGGAGGAACAGCATGTCAGAAAACCAGACCTGAAGCTAAGCAATCATTTATCAGGAAGGGGCTGTGGACAACTCCTCTGGTTGTATATAATTCGATTTAAGCCAATCCAGGAAATATCTCTAACTTATCTTTGGCCACTGATGATAAGCCTTCAGGTAACAGTAACACCGACTACAGAGGTTTGGGTTTCTTTAGACATATAAAGACATGCAGATAGTACCAGCAGCAAAAAGGGTGGAACACAGGACTTTATTATTATTTGTCTTTTGACAAGCTCACAAATTAATCATCCCACCAATCAGTGGAGTCACTATCATTAGTTAGTTAGTCAAGGCTATACGCACATGTTCAATTGAAAAAAAAAAAAAACCCTTTACTACTATGTACATTCATAAAATTTCTATTATCTTCATATTCAATATCTGAGATTCCTGTTCCATGTTCATTAGATGTCTTTGAGGTTTACAATTATTTTCTCCTAACTTGTCTGTCTCTTTGCTTTGTGTTTCTCCTTTAGCCCACATGTATAATATGTTCTCAACATTACCTTTGTCTCCAAATAGGTGATGGTTTTGAAGTTACCTTTGGTAAAAAAAGCTCAAAAGAGAAAATATTTACTGTAATTGCATTCATTAGGTTACCAAAAAAAGACGATGTATTTTCTGTATTTGCTCTTTGGGTAAAGATGGCTGTTACCCTTGGTAGTCATGAGTTACCAGGAGAACTATTACCCTGGTTCATTTCTCTCATATTTTTAAATAGTCATAATTCTAAACTCCCCAAGAGATTATGATATAAAGTGAGCTATAGAATACAGAATCCTTCGGCAGAAGATTCTTTGAGACTATATGATTAGGCATAATAGTTTGTTCTATGAGTGCAAAGGATGTGTTGCAAGTGATTG